TATATATATATATATATATATATATATATATATATATATATATATATATATATATATAGGTACGATGAGAACGAATAGAGTACACTTCCAACGTTCGTAATATTTAATTTTAAAGAGTGCTCAATACATAGTGGAACGATATTATTTATTTTAGGAGATTGCAACGAAAACATGTAAGAATCGCTACACAATTGCAGTTGTCTTTCAACACTTCTCGATGCATTCCTCTTGTTGCAATTAATTGTCCAGTCCCCCTTGAGCCCAAACAATACCAAAATATCATCGAGCCGACTCCATGTTTTAATGTTGCTACTGTATTCTTTGGGAGGAAAACCTCACCTTTCTTGTGCCAAATCTTCTCTACATCATTATGCACAAAAAGTTCAAATTTTGTTTCATCACTCCATAGTACTTGTTCCAAAAAGCAATTTTCTTTGTCCGAGAAAGTTTTGTCAAAATTAAACCGAGCAACAATGTGACATGGTTTGTGAAGAAGGGTTCATTGTGGTCGGTTTCCATACAACCCATTTCTATTTAAACAACTTTGTATTGTGCGAGTACTTACGCTAATACCCATCGTATCCATACTTTTGGCGATCTCTTTCAAAACAATTCTTGGGTTTTTATTAATCTTGCGACACAGTTTCCACGCCCAGGCAAATTCTCTGTCGTGCCAAACTGTTTAAACTTCTTTATAACAGACTGTACCGTAGATGTTGGGATAGCTAACCGGTTTGAAATAGTGCTGTAACTATTTCCCGACTTCTGAAAGTTGATAATTCTCTGTCTCAAGTCAACGCTAAGCTCCTTTGTCTTCCCCATCGTGTTGTTAAGATAAGAATAACAATGGTGACGCTCTATGCACCACGTGATGTTTTTTCTGGCATTATCATAATTACTGAATAAACATTCTAGAAGGCTTCACCGATAAAATAATTATGTAAATTTCTTATACTTACACGAATCAATCAATTTAAAACATTTTCTACTGTACGTATAATTTGTCTTTTCCTATTTTTCATATTTCACCTCTCAACTTTGTTGTATTTAACCTATTGTTCTAAGTTTTATATTTGTTTTGTTGTGCTTATTAACATATAAAAAACCTGGCATCATAAAAACATTAGATTTTGAGAAATGGATAAAAATATTCAAAATTAATGGCTGTATGAATAATTTCGTCGTTGACTGTATATGTGTGTGTGTGTGTGTGTGTGCATATGAAAATTATCTTACAATACAAATATTTATTTTTGAACATGATCTCCTTCCTTGTCAATGCACTTAATTCAGTGGTTAATATTAATTATATTGATCGAACATTGTATTGTAAAACTTTCAGGGGAAAGATTAGCCAATACGTACTTGTAGAGCTTCGTACTTATTGATGCAATTTCAACTGCAAAAATCATACCAACATATTTTAATAAATAATAATAATAATAATAATAATAATAATAATAATAATTTTTTACCTATTAACATAAAGAGTGTTGTTAATAACTGGTTGTGTTTATTCTAAACATACTCGTTTAAATATATATATAAGTGTGTGTGTGTGTGTCTGGAGAGAGAGAGAGAGAGAGAGAGAAATATAACAAAATGGAAAGTTTTTTTTTTGTGACGCATTTTATCCGTTAGGATTTCCTCGGACTGGCCTTTGTTGACGTTGTCACGTCTACACATGCGCACAAAACGGCAGACGCATATAGTTATATATATATATATATATATATATATATATATATATATATATATGAGGAGAGAGAGAGAGAGAGAAAAAAAACTAGAGAGAAAAACTAGAGAGATACATACAAAATTTATGTGCCAAGCTAGAATTTTGATCTCGTCACGCAGAAATCAGCTAAAAGCTATTAGACCATAGTCAACCCTGACAAGAGTCTGGTTCACGTGCACACAGACACACAAACGCACAGACACACGCACACAGCTTTAATTTTTCTCTCCCCTCTCTATTTCTCTTTTAATTTATCGTTAGCTCTCTCCCTCTTCGACTCTCTGTTATCCCTACCGTCTTTTCATTAACAACCATATCAACGCTCACTCACGGAAATACAAGCCTTTTATCTATTTAATTACGTGTACACAATGTTTGCTTCACGTTCGTTAGTCGTGTTTCTATAAAAACCGCACGCATTGCTTTCTTTTACAGTTCCATCGAATCAGTTCAAACGCATATCACAATAGCAAAACCAATGTGACGAATGCAACGACTGCTACAGTTACAAACTATGCTACGGCTACTATTCTGATTAATATTACTTCTATGTGCTTGAAGCCGCCCTAGGTAAATTTGATGGCGATCGATTCGTGTGTCGAGACATTAATGGTGCGCGCTCAGGAGTGACTAACACCAATTACAATTCTCTTTGACAAGCTATTTTTGGTCTATCTTTTGTCTTTAGATTTAACAGGAATTACTTTGCTTAGAAAGGTATAAGGCCAACTGATTCTGAAAGTTGAATGATTTTTTTTAAGTCGAGACGGTATGCCAGTTTGTCATTAACTGTGTTGATGGAAAATAGTAACAAATCCTAAAGAAGAAAGGAAAGCCAGTAGGCGATAATGGTTCTCCCCAACTTCCTCTCTTTTGTAGCTCTAAATAAGTTTTGTGTTGTTGCTATCTCTTTGTTCTGCCAGCCATTTACATAAGCTTCGTTAGGTAGATTATTCGCTGCTCTTCGCTGTCCCTCTTGCCTTCAGTATGTCCTGTGAGTATAAAATCATCAAAGACACCACTTTTTTCATTACGTGCCCTAAAATTTTCAACTGGTTTTTTTTTTTTCGGATTTGAAATACGTTTTCTTTTTTTTTTTTCATTTTACCCGGAACTTCGTCGTTGTAAAATGTTCGGCCATAGTATTATTAACATCCTTCTGCAGAATCGCATTTCCGTCGCTTCAAGTCTCTTCTTCATCTGTGTGGTGACTGTCCAGCATTCGCTGTCATATAGGAGGACCGATACCGATTAACAGTTCAGTATTATTTTTTTTTATTTTGCTTCTAACAAAATCTTCCTGTTTCTTGATACTTTGTTTCACTTTTGCAAGGCATCTTTCGCTATTCTTATTTACCTTAGGATTTCGGTGTCTCAGGATATCTAGAATGTGTTTTAACAGAGTATAAATATAATCTACTAAAACACATCCTAGATATTTAAACTTTTCCCTGATTTTGGTGTCTATAATTCGTAGTTCACACTTTAGGACGTTATGTCTGCTGACATATATACATTCTGTTTTCTTACAATTGATGCTTAGTCTTTTCTTCTAGCCTCCCTTTATTACCGTCCGTATGAATCCTTGCATTTTCCTTTCTGCGTCCTTTATTAACGCAGTGTCACCTGAATATGTTGTTAAGATTGCGACCGGCCATAAATAATCCTGGTAGGACTTCTATTTATCTCAGGATTGTAAAAGTTGAATAAGCAAGGATTTATATTACCGTATTCGCCAACATCAAGGACGCGCTGACGTCATGCACTCATCCTAAGTTTAAAGTTCATATTTTTGAGACAAAAGAAACAGGTGAATAAGGTCTCTTTCCCCTTAATAAGGTGTTTTGTAGGTGGCTTAACAACATGTCCACCATCTTGACCCCTTGTGTTTTGGATTTTATCATTTTAGCCTTACGATACTGAGACACGTAAGTTTACACTTTCAGACGTATAAAATTATGATTCGGATTTGTACCCACAGAAGGGTTGTATCAAGCACAATGATAGTGCATTTCCACAATTCATTGTTCTTACTGTAGAAAAATCACGTGGTAGAGATAAACACTCAGTTGTGGAGCAAGCTAAGTGAATAATAATCCAACCTTTAGAAAGAGAGCTATTTATGGTGCAATGGAGCATCTCATTGAGCTAAAGTGGGATAGTCCATTGCTTGGGCTGTGATTGGCTGCTGGTAAATGAGTGGAGGTATTTCTATATAAATACCAGCTTGATTCATCAGTTAGTTTTCAGGGTTTGTATTAAGTTACAACCTGCTTTATTTTTGTCTGCCAGCTGGACGCTAGCTGGGACCTTTACGCCGGTAAGTGCTGTTTATTATTGTTATTCTATACTTACTAGTGTTTTTTACTTTTTTTTATTCATTGAAATATCGACTGAAGCTTCATTATATATCAAAAGGGATTTTTTATGGGCCTACCTTTTATTTAAATTTTACCCATATGGTGAAATATATGGAAATTATAAATAAAATAAAGGTTTATTTAAATGTAAAAAAAATAACTTATATAAATTCTTTAACAATATTTTCGTACTAGGATATTAATAGAGACGAATTGATACTACTTGTCTGTTAGCTACCCTACACTAGTATGTCACGGGAACATTCAGTACCTATACATTTTATTATAATACTTCAAACAGTGTATTTATAAATTTAATTAAGAGATTGCATACAGGAATTCATTTTACTGTCTGGCATAGATAACCTTCTTCTGTATTTAAGCCTACGAAAACCTTCGTCCACGAGATTCTTTCAGAAAAAAAAACACGTTCTTGACGCCGGCAAATACAATAAGTGTAAAAAAGAAATGTGTTATAGTCACCAAGAAAGACTGCTTACAAGGTGTGTATAATGGATTGGAGACATTAGAATCAAACAGATACAAAAGTTTAACAATCTGGGCAGTGTCTTAAGAGACGATGGGAAATGTGATGCAGAAATCGAAAGGCGAATTTCATTAGCGATGGACATATCCTAGAGGCCAAAACATTAAGACATAGGAAAATCTCGTTAGAAGGAAAACTGCTGAGTAATATCTATCCTCTTATATAACACTTAACGAAGGACAGTTTTTGCACAGATGAAGATGAAACAAAGCTATCGTTCTAGATAAGGCTGCTGAGAATATCATGGGCAGAACATGTGAGTAACGGGGAAGATCTAAGCAAAACGGAAAACATACTTACAATCAGAAAGAACTAATTGAAATTTATCGAGCAAATTATAAGGAGTTTGGTGATTTCGGCTATATCACGTGGAAACACCCGTTCTCATATGATCACCAAAGTTAAGCAACGTTGAGCCTGATCAGTACCTAGATGGATAACCGTTTGGCATATACCAGATGCTGTATTCATGGATGTGTGGCTGGTGTAATGGAATAGGAAATCGGAGAGCTGAGTTCCAATTCCAGTCGGATTCGTTATATTCACTTACACGCAAATATGCCTGGGGAAGGCATGAATCCAAATCTTCTCCCTCCCCTTCCCCCTCTTCTCCCTCCTCACCCCTTTTCCTACCACCAGCTATGAGTTAACTAGTAGAACTTGTATGAGTAGATTATTATTATCTATAAAAAATTCGTACAGTCGAATCATGCCACATGTTGCATGTCTTCTAGGGTTCAATTAGTGACGTCACGAGCGCAGGAGAAGCGCTGTGTCCGACGTTGTAATGTTTCGGGTCTCCCTAGTGGGATTTCCCTAGAGATGAAACAAAATTGAAGAATCATTGTTTGGTTTCATCCTCTGCAATGGAAAGACCATCACTGCAGATGGTTATTACTAACAACTTGATCGGGTAAACCAGTGGTTTATCAACCTTTTTTACCCATGGACCACTTTTACTTTTATTTATGTTTTTTTTTTTTTTTTTTTTTTGTGTGGATCCCCATAACTGTACGATAGATTACTAAAAGATAAATTTAGGAATTGTATTACAGAAATAGTTAATGTATATGCTTTATTTTGAAGTAAAACTAATTTAATGAAAATAAATTTATATTTAACAAATAAATTGTATGGAACATTTATGTTCACTAGTAAAATAACTCATAATAAACCATTTTAAAATATGTAAATAATTAATAAACTAAAAAAGTCCAGATTTATTTAATAACATTCCTGTGGTTGATGCTGGTCTGCGAGTTTTCTTTTTATATTCAGCTTCATCGATCGCAATGAAAGTCAAAGAACAAAGATCACCCCTTTTCACAATGTTGAGTCTGTTATTAGATTAATTAATTTATATTAATATAACAATATTTTATTTTATTTTATTAATATCTAAAATTAATATTATTATTTATTATTAATGTATTAAATTAATTTATATAACAAAATTATAATGTTCTTTATATATATATATATATATATATGTGTGTGTGTGTGTGTGTGTGTGTGTGTGTGTGTGTGTGTGTGTGTGTGTGTGTGTGTGAAAATATGGAACAGAGCTTACTTTAATTCAATTGAATTCAAATAATTATATTGAAGTTTTCGGCTCTTGTTTTTGAAACATGAGACCTCTTATGTAGCGTGTTGAAATCATATTTTTAAATATATATATATATATATATATATATATATATATATATATATATATATACAGCTATGGGTAAAAAAGCAGGACTGACTGGGTTCTATAGCCTTGGATGGCAACTGGTCTAGGAGAAGGACAACTCTGTATTCAAAACCTGCGGAGGGTCGTTTGGGAACCTTGTGGCATTCGGTGCACCAGGTCTCTGTATTCATCCTTTCAAAAAGTGTGGATGGTCCTGCACGAAGCCTTCACCACTATAATCAAATCTCATGTGCCGGTGTCGGGCTGTCGGTTTCCTGGAAACTGATCTGCTTGACCCTCATACGTCGAATCTCGACGGGAGAGTCGATTATTATTATTATTATTATTATTATTATTATTATTATTATTATTATTATTATATATAATCCTTCCTTTATATATCCTTCTCAGATTTTATTCAAATTTTACAATTAAAACATCAGGGAGAGTAAAAGGAGCGCTAATTTACATTGCTTGATCTCGATATCTGCTACCTTCAGAGTTATTATATTAATATCGCGTAGATTACTGTAGAAATTGCAATTCTCAGTTGTAACAACCATTCCAAAGTGAAATTGCTCTATGGACCCTAAAATATTATTGTGGAGTCCCCAATTTTCTATTTTGTGTGGATCCCCAGTAATGTTACATGGATTACTCGGATGCATATTGACCCCAGTTGAGAATAACTGATATGACCAAAGCATCAGTACGAAAGTGATCTGCTTTGGTAAACAGAAAGAGTTCCTATACTCAAACATGACAATGCAAAACAAACACAAGAACAAATGGCACATTTTCTTTATGATGTCTTCTCGAGTAGACAAAATTTATAGTTTAAAATAAACGGAGCGTCTACTCAAATACGGGCAACCACTAAAATAACGTTTGGAAGTATTATACACGTTTAACAAATTTGTTTTTTTATATCCTTTCTTGTAGAAAGTGGTTACTTTCCGAAAACCCTAATATTAAACAAATTTGTTTTATGTCCTTTCTGGTAAAATGCCATTACTTTTATAACAGTCTAGTACTTAAAACTATTTAACAAATTTGTTTTTATACTTTTTTTAGTAAAATGTCATTATTTTCCGAATATACTAATAATATTTTAATGCATGTATATATATAAGCCGTCTTATTTAATGAAACTTTCATTTACCGGTTCGTCTGTCTGACATAATTTAGTTATCTTTTATCATATCTGCTCATATAGATAGCCATGTTTCTTTACCTGTTCCTCAAACTACCTATTGATCTATCTCTTGCATACATTGCCAATCGATAAAATAATCTATTATTGTCTAGGACTTTCATTTCATTGTTGTCTTTGACGCACCATAAGCCTCAAATGAATAATGTTTGTTTCTGAGTACAGTCAATTGATAATTATTTACTGCCGACATCACGTTTACTAGACTACAAAATCTTATCTTCATTCATTAATGTCCAAAATCGCTCAACTGTTGTTTCGTATATAATCGATTCCACCCCACAGCAGTAAATCCACTAAAAGACAAGGGGTTACTGGGTGTGGAAAAATTAGGAACATTAATGAGCTGGAATTGGAATGAGTAATGAGGACAGCACATAGTGATTAACTTTGCATTTAATTTTTTGCAGATTAAAGTTGGATGGAAAGCATGGAGCCAGAAGGGAATTCCGCAAGCGAGAAGTGCGAAAAAAGAAACAGTTCGCATAGAACATACGGTTAAATCTCGCCAACTCAACGGCAAATTATGAGATCTAGACGCTAGTCTAGTACTGCGCTTAACTTTAAAAAATCTAGGTACTATAGCGAAGAACTCATCCGAATAATTAGCGTGAAAGTATTTATAGAAAAGACACAGGGAGGCAACCTTATGGCGGTGGAAAGTGACTGAAGCCGAGCCGACAGATCAGGACCAATAATATTGCTGATTCTTCTTTGGATTTTATCAAGGAGCTCAAGGACACCGGACTATTTGTGCCAGCAATATTCTAAGTATAGACGAATGGCGGACTTATTAATATGTATGATAGGTTCTGGAAAGAAAAATTGTCTCGCAGTGATCTAACTTTCTTAAGAGCTAACTTAGCATTGGAATGGACCAATGCTCCCCTGACCAGCGGTTTGACATGTTGATATGAGTACACGAAAGGGCAAAGCTAAAGGTCCTATTGCTCAGAAATCCATGGACCATGGTAGTCTTCGCCGGAGATCAACTACAGCTGGACAGACGACGAACGAATATACGGAACCCCCAGATGCCAACACAACAATGCCATCTCCACAAACCCCCAGAAGTTATAACGAGAGAAAAGTGTGTATAATAAAAAGAAGAGTGAAACCGCAAACGTTGTTGATTGTTATGTGGATTTAAAAAAAAAAAATATTATGCTTTGATTTCCATAATTTTGCTACACGTGTTTCCGGTCTCGTGACCTTCATCAAGCAAAGAGTGGATATTTCCACATATTATTAAAAGGAATTAATTTTTCTTATGTTTTTTGATGTTAAATATTCTCGATATTAGACATTCACTTTTTTGTGTGTTAGTGATCCAAATGTCCGAGAACGAATTCTGCGTGAAGGCTAATAAAACAATTAAGATTGGTCCGAGAAAGGGTGAAAAAGATATCTATATTCTTATCTTTTAATGACCCCTGTGTGTTCTTAGAACTGTTACCATTTTTTTTGTGTTTTTGTGAGCATGCGTACGCATACGTATATTCCCTCTCCATACTGTTTTATTATATATAATATATATATATAATATATGTATATATATATATATATATATATATATATATATATATATATATATGTGTGTGTGTATAAATAAAAAGAAAGAACAGTAAGATATATAATCCGGGGTTCTTATTGATATTTTTATTTTTACAAAACAGTGCTCAATGTAAATTTACAGAGCATATATATGCTGATAATTAATATCGAGTGAATAAAAATGAACATGCTACCACCCCTTATCTGAATGATTGGATTTCTCTGTATCCTTGGATACAGTGAATTTCGAATTTTTGTATACGTTTAAAACTCAGCATATTTGAAATATTCGCTTAATTGATAAAATGAAACTAATGCTTTTAATTTAATTACAAAATTAAATTTGATGTTTTTAGCTTCCATTTTTGAAACATGGTTATTACTGTGTAGCGAAAAAAAACTTATTTTAAACCAGTTAATTTATAATATATAATTTAAATAAAAAACAGACCACTTTAAGGTCCGATTTAATAAATTATTTCACCACAGCCCTTTTAAAAGTACTGCGGATCATCAGACTTTACTTCCAAACCTATATATATATACACTTTTACTTGAAAACACATATATATATATATATATATATATATATATATATATATATATATATATATATATATATACTTTACAAACATATATATATATATATATATATATATATATATATATATATATATATATATATATATATATATATATATATATATATATATATATACTTCCAAACAGGACAGGATCGGAACCTTTACAAGGGAGATGCTTTAAAGCTCGTCGGACATTACAACGCTTTTGCTCCCGTCAAAGAAGACGCAGGTTCGAATTATGCGAAAGTGCGCACATTCTTCATAAATAAGATTTCTCGAATTTTCAGACCGATAGAGAAAAATAAATAAATATGTTAAAAAAAAATGAGGCGTCTTCTCAAATATGTGTAACCGCTAAAAATAAAGTTTAAAGTGATAAAATCTGCCAGATTAATGAATAAAAACCCTTCACTTTATAAATGTACATATATGTGCGATGGATAA